TTATGAAGCTAGGTTGAAAAGTAGGAAAGCTTCTGGGTTTCGGTCAGTCACTAAGAATGGAATTACAATACTCACAGTCGTTAGGAAACGATTAGACGGAGCGGCCACCTTTCTTGTTTTGCGTTACTAGCACCAACCACAGAACACAAACACTCTAAGCCAGTCACTCAAACACCACTACTTATCACGCCGGCTTGCACAAACCAAGCGACTCAAACACAAGTCAGTAAGAAAATTCCAACAACTAATCAAGTGACCCAAACTGAAAATCCAGAGTTTCAAGATTCAACTACCACGACTAAAGCTACCACAACAGCCAATCAATCAATAGGGACCAAGTACCTTATCAAGATAAGAGCCATCCAGTCCGAGCCGCCATCATAGCCCTTCACCTCCACCCAAGACGAGTCCATACCAAGAAGACCCGCTCCTTCACCTTAATCGTTCCCCAACCAGCAACAAGCCACCGTCCCATATCGACGAAGCGGCCGCCGACTACTATGACCTAGACCTTCCATGGCTTCATCAGATTCCAGCAAGCCACCGACCACTCTTCAAGCGTTAACCTCTTGTTTGTAATCTTGTTTTCTAGCCCATGACTTTGTTTTTTCGTTGCAGGTTTCCTCGGGCACGGCTCATGCATATTAATTCGGCACCTGAACTGTGAAAGTGGGTTTTCTCGGGGTACTTCCACCCCCCCACCCCCCACAGCAAAACTTTTATCAGATTGGATCTATAGATCATCGACCTGAAAAGAAAAGTTTGTCGTTTTTTGTCTAAAACTAAAATATCTGAAAAAAAGTAATTTAATAAACTTACCGTGTAATTTCATCTAATTTAATTCATTCAAGTGATCAATCTCAGATTTAATCAGTCAAGTATTTTCGGCAGATTATTTCGCCACTTCAACTTAACAACGCGTTTTTACTTGGAGCTAGACATTTATGATACAGTCTTGGTCTCTCCTTCCTTCACCATCATCCAGCAGTCAAAGAGAAATCTCCGACAGACCTCTCCTTCCGTTATCTCGTTTCCTGATTTCCATAAGCATGGCTTTACTGGATGCCTTGAGAGGTCTCGTCATGTTAGGTCAACATTCAAATGCCACGGTTTGAATTAATTACCCACTCCAAAATAACTCCATCACCTAAGCCCCAGATTCTTCATCTTCTCCTATTATTTAACCTAATTCCGATAGTGGGGTGAAGAAAGACAACAGTCTCTGACCGTCCCTGGTTATCTTTCAGGTCTCTTTGAGACCTGAAAGCTTTATAACCAAAATACCTACCAAGTTCGTTCGTTCGAGAAAAAAGAATATTGTAGTGTGCCAGACGGGAAAAATCAAGCAAGAATCATGTTCCGGATTTTCTCCGCGGCCCTTCCGGATCGCTTGAGACGGCACAGCTACCTTAACATCATTACTGACCAAAACAATAATCATGCAAAAATAATTATACATTTAATCACGAGTGGAGCGAAGAGAAATCTTAAATTTTTGACCATCTTTGGTTCCAGACCAAAATATCTACCTCGACGACAACAGCAACAGCAGAAAAAAGATGAGACGTAAGAGAGAGAACGGTTTGTTTGTTTTAAATTTCGCGCAAAGCTACACGAGGGCTATCTGCGCTAGCCGTCCCTAATTTAGCAGTGTAAGACTAGAGGGAAGGCGGCTAGTCATCACCACCCACCGTCAATTCTTGGTCTACTCTTTTACCAATGAATAGTGGGATTGACCGTCACATTATAATGCCCCCACGGCTGAAAGGGCGAGCATGTTTGGTGGGATGGGGATTCGAACAAGCAGATTGCGAGTCGAGCTCCCTAACTACCTGGCCATGCCGGGCAAGAGAGAACGAATAAACAGCTCGAGAAGGAAAAAGTAATATGGTGCTAAAACTTGGGTGATGACCTGCTTAGAGGCTAGTAGTAAAGAGAATAAATAGAAAACTATCTTAGATCCTTATGAGAAGACAAAACATGTTAAAAGTTTGGAAGAATTAACTCCTGACCAACAGAAAGTACGTGAAATTATGAGAGATTATGAAAGTTTATTTGATGATAGGCCAGGGCCGACCTGGTTAGTTAAGCATGTGATAAAAGTAATCTCTAATATTGCCATAAAGGAACCCAAAAGGAGAGTGTCATATCATTTGAGGGGAGTTCTAAAGGAGGAGATAAAGAAATTAATAGAATAAAAGAGGCCAACGTTCGCGGAAGAATGCAACATGTTTCGCCAACATGGCATCAGAAAAATCGAGAAAAACACAAAAAAAAACACACTAAAACTGTCTATATCGCTGCTTGGGTCCTGCAAGAAGGTACAAATTTGCCGAGTAATTGACCCCCCCCCCCCAAATTATGCTTGTTTGTGAACTTAAAAAGACTCAAACTGGCAAACCATACTTTTTTGCATGTCAACATGTTAAACTCATGAAGATTTATATTTGTGCCAATTTTCATTTTGATTGCTGTGAACATGATCGCACAGGAGCCCAAAATATACATTTTTGAGTTGTTTGACCTTTGACTCCATACAATCCTGATAAAGGCCTAAATTAAAAAAAAAAAGGAAAAAAAAACGTTTCTGGAAGTTTTGGACCAAGGTATAATCCTACCACGTTTCTAATCAATCCGCCTAGAAATGAAGAATTGGCGATTGATTGAAAAGTGTTTGGAAGAAAGAAAGGAAGAAGAAGGAGAAACAATAGAAAAACAGCCCGGCATGGCCAGGTGGTTAGGGCGCTCGACTCGCAGTGTGCGGGTCGCGGGTTCGAATCCACGTCCCACCAAACATGCTCGCCCTTTAAGATGTGGTAGCGTTATAAAGTGACGGTCAATCCCAGTATTCTTCGGTAAAAGAGTAGTCCAAGAGTTGGTAGTGGATGGTGATGACTAGCTGCCTTCCCTCTAGTCTTACACTGCTAAGTTAGGGACGGTCTGCGCAGATAGCCCTCGTGTAGCTTTGCGCGAAATTCATTACAAATCAATAGAAAAACAGTATGTCACTCTGTGGAGACATAAAAATGAAAAACTAGGAAAGCTTCTGAGCATGAAGTATCGGCTGTAGTGTTAATACCCAAGTTTGATGGGGTAAGGTTATGTACCGACTTGGGGGAGATTGAATGAAGCTATTGTTGCTGATTCCTACCCATTATCTCACATGGAGGATATGATAAATGAAGTTAGTAAAGCATAGTATATTCGTGAAATTATTTATCGAAAGTTTATTTCTAAGTCAAGTTAGAGGAAGAGTATAAGAAAAACAGCACTTTCCACACATTATGGATTGTTTGAGTTTAATGTAATTTGTAGCAGCATTTCGGAAGTAAATGGGAGTCAGCCACAACTAATATAGATGGCATTGGTATACACAATAATAAATGGGATGAGCACATAAGTGTGTTGAGGGAAGTACCACACAGGTTGAGTAAAGCAGGCTTAACAGCAAAAACAGGTAAATGTGAGCTTGCGGTAGATTGCATAGATAATTTAGGTCATAACCCTTTAATCTTTACACAAAGTGAAGGATGAAAACAGAAAACAAAATACATCAGTTTAGTTTTACAGTACATCATAGACGGAGTTACGGAGTGGCCATCAAAATAAAGACGCCCTCTCGCGCTTGTGTTATTAAGATCAGCTCGTGACTTCTCTCTGATTAAAGCTAGTATATATCGCATATAGATACGGGACTTAAAACCCATCAAGCTAGGGTCAAAACTGATGCTGTGTTTGAATGTCTGGTTATGCAAATCAATAGAAGAGTATGTATTTGTTAGATTACTAGTTCGAACCCTGAACAGCAAAGGTGGAATAGAGGAGACGGATGTTATTTTCCGATTAATTTTGTACGGATATTTATATAAGACTATTACTTTTTAACGTTTTACTGATATATATATATGAACAAAGCTAGTGAGTGGTGAAACAGCTTAACGAAGGGTGTGATGATCCGGATTCTAAGTTTGTTTGTATTTAAGCACAAAACTACAGAATAGAAGTTTAGCAGCTGGTTAATAAACCACTAACAATTAAACATACCCACGATTTTAAAGGATGGAAAGACATTATTGGCAGGTAGATTTAACTTGATATTCACCTGTGAATTTGAAAACGATTACATTAAATCATTAGCACTAAAACTTTCTACTTAAAACATACTATGATCTAAAACACCGTGTGTCAAGCTTTTCGATATTATGAACCGGCTTACTGCCTTCCTAAACATTCCTGGAGTACTAAAATGCAAGAACAACGAAAAAAAAAAACATTACGATTATAAATATATTTGTTTGTTTAATTTCGTGGAATTCCACGGACAGCTGGTTTAAAAATACTGATCAGGAATGCTAATTATAAATGTGTATTTGTTAATTTATGTGTAATTTTAATACGTTTCAAATATAATCTTCCTGTTGTTGGAGTAGTTTTTTTTATCGTAAAATTACACAACGGGCTGTCTGCGCTCTGTCCGTCGTGGGGAATCGAACCTCAGATTTTAGAGTTGTAACTACGTAAACTTATCCGATACCCACTGACGGAGATCAATTGTTCCACTTTTAAAACTATTTTTATTATATGTTTGTGTAGTCGATTAACAGTTACGTTGATATTCATCTTTCACGATTCATTTAACGGATATATGTTTTATATTAAACGACTGATATGTTTTGTATTAATGAACACAACCCGCAAAACGTTTAATATGAACAGGTTTCCTGAACAGTATGGAATGGAACTTCCGTCGTCGAAGCATTTTTGATATTTTCTATTATAACATTAATTTATTTAGATATTCAAGTTGTTAAGAAGATGTAAAAATTGATGAATGTTTTCACTTTTCCCAGAATCCTATCAAAACTCGTCACTGAAGATATGCAATAAATGATAATACATACATTCGTAATGCATTGCTGGAATCAGTGATAATCCTGGTGATACAGTCAACATTTTGTTGCTTCATCTTTGTCAAGAAATATCACGAACATTATACTCACACTGAACACTGTAAGCGAAAAGTTCAGGAGCTAATTCAAACGAAACTGGTAGCCGGCCTTGTAAAATATCTTGTTTGACCTGCAGGAAGAACTGGTACCTGTAAAGAAAAAACAACAAAAAAAAAACGTATCACCGAAAGTTACCTAACTTAAACTGACTGTGATACCGAGCTTTCTGTTACAATTATAAGAATAAATTTGACACTATAAATATTTAATTTGCTACACCATTTTACGTGAATTGTATTGGTAAGTCTTTAATTAAAAATGATTACATATATTTTATTTCTATAGTATGTTTCATTTTCTTAAAATTCGATGTCTTGTCCTATGCGTTTTAATTAATATTTTACACCTCATTTCTTTATGTAGCTTTTTATTTAAGTTTGTATTCCTTAAATATTGTTTTTTTAAATGTCTATAGTCGCCAGAAATGGTTGTCAAGGAGATAATATTTGTTTGAGTTTTTGAATTTCGCGCAAAGCTACACGAAGGTTATCTGTATTAGCCGTCCCTAATTTAGCAGTGTAAGACTAGAGGGAAGGCAGCTAGTCTTCATCACCCTCCGCCAACACTTGGGCTACTCTTTTACCAACGAATAGTGGGATTGACCGTTACATTATAACGCCCACACGGCTGATAGGGCGAGCATGCTTGGTGGGACAGGGATTCGAACACGCGACCCTCTGATTGTGAGTCGAGCGCCCTAACTACTTGACGAATTTATTTCAGTTATTTTACGCATTCCTCCTTTCTACATTTCAGCTATTAAGTAACATTTCTTGGCAATTTATGAAGTATTTATTTACCTGTTTTTAAATTAGATTATTACAACAAGTACTTTACATATTTTAAATTATTATATTAATTAACAAATAACGTAAACAATATTTCAGCAAACTTTGTACTGAAAATGCAACTGTCGGTAACATAATAGTAAGTGACAATTTCCTGCGTGAGCATGGTTGACTTCTACATCAGAACCATTATCATTTGAGGTTTCAGTAAAAGATAAAATAATAACAAAGTTTTAAAACTTAACAAATAAGTTCACGAAACAAATGGTGTGTATCCATCGAAAACATGATTGCACATTAAATTAACATATCCTTTATTTATCACAAAAACAAGTTTTGTATTAGAGTTTGACTAAGATTACGTTTAAAATTTCGGATATTTTGTTGATATTTTGCTTTATGGAGCAGCTAAGCCTATTTAATCAAGAAAAATGGCATTAGCAAATGTACATTAGGCTAGCTTAAATCTATCGATCTAAACCGGATGATCTAGTTTTACAAAAAGTTACTAAGCGACACAAATTTTAATTCTATGGGAGAAATTTCTTTGAAATAATTTCGATTCATTCATCACAATATACGTACAGAATCCCTGTTACAAAACAATTAGATTTATAATTAACAACCAAAAAAACTAGATAGAGCCTGAAGAGTTATAAAGAAAAACTATAGTTTGGTTGTTAACACAAAGTTACACAGTGGGCTATCTGTGCTATGTCACTGCGAGTGTTGAAACCCGATGTTAAACGCCATAAGCTTTCATAATCTGCGTTGATACACTGAGTGGAGAGAAATGATAGTGAATAACTTCAATCTATAAGAAACATCCATGTGAATTAGAATACTGCAATAAGTACGTTTCACACCTTAATCTATTATATTAATCATTTTATAGATTAAAAAATATTTTAGTAAAATGATGGAAAAGTATGTCGGAAACATCCGGGCATAAAATAAAGTTTGATTTTTATTAACTCTAAATAATTTGATTCGTTTAACGAACAAAAGTATCACTGATCATATACGTTTTGTAGACATAAATAATAAATACGTAAATGATGGTTGATAAATTATGTGTACATCTGCGACGAATAAAATGATATTAAAGGATTACAGGAAATGCTTTGATACTTGGAATAAGACTTATTTGTTTAAAGAAAGTTTTACACATCCCCTAGAAGCATCGTTTTTATCCACACTTGACAGTTTCACAATAGAAGAGAATCCATTAACTTTAGCACTTAAATAAAGCCTGAATGGAACTACATTTATAAGAAGGATACGTTTTCATATGACTACAGCTTTTGATAATGAAAAAAAAATGTATGATATAACGATTAAGTATACAAGGTTATACAAGGGTAAACAAGGTTTTATTGTCAAACTACAACTTGTATTCATCAAAGGGGTTATTTCATTTGATGCGTTAATCATATTTTTATTTTTTATACATACAGGTGGTCACTAGGTTCTTCGTAGGATATTGAAACTATTAAAATCTGCTCTAACAATGCATGAAATTTAAAATAAGAAAATTAAAAACGAAATACTTGCCAGAAATGATAAAATATATTACATTCTTGAAGGACGCACCGTGTGAACGATGATAGAAAAACACTTATGAGATTATGCAAAAATTAGTAAAATAAAGGATTAGAGCAAAATTATGAATGCTATTATATAACACATATGAAATAGCCACTATAAACAGTATAAAGATATTACGGTACTACACAAGGCGAAGAGTACACAAGCACAGAGGTGAAATAATTATGGCATTCTAAGAAAAAGTAAAAATAATTACTGGTCACTCATGTAATGTTCAACCGATCTTAATAGACTGGTTCCTTTAAAAACAGTCACAATTCAATTATTTACAAGTGTACCATGAAACACGCTGTCGTGAGGCAGCAGTCCTAAAACCAGTTTCACAGGATCTTCATTGACGTTCTGAGTACTGTGGACGCTGAATAACTGGACGTATGATATACTGTCTAATGAGTATTTCTTTTGTACTGACGGTAAAATGAATATATGGAGAAAAACATATAAAGTACTTAACCTTGCTAGCGCTGCTGGAGGTGGTGTAATGATGCGGATAACATTCTCGTGGCGACGATTGGATCTTATATGTGCTTTAAAAGGGCAAGAAATATACACTATGTGCCTCCAAGTTGCTGCCAAGCATATTTAGCTCACATTGCTGCATTTCCATCCTGATGAGCGAGGGCTCTTTAAAGATAACACATATTCCAACGTATTCGTTCATTTCAAAATTGGTTCGTAGAGCATGACAGAGACTTCAGATATCTTTCTGTGCCAACAAATCTTAATAAATATGGACATCTTTAGGCTGAACCTGAAAGTCTAATTCACCACAGCAAATCCTCTACCGTCATGTGTGAACTAATTGCAGACCAAATTAATTGTTGAATAGGCTACAATCGAACAAAACAATGTGTTACATCTAGCGGAGTCTCCCACATGACAAATCCAAGTTATTATAACAGCAAAATGTGGCCCAACCAGGAATAAGGTAAGATTTTAATGGCTATTTAAAACCGGCAGTATATTTAACCGGCAACATATGATAGCAGAACCAGGAAAAACTCAAGAGATATAATAACATATCTAACATAACAAATAATGTTTAAACTATGTCAAACATTCAAATGTAACTTACATGTAAATAAGACTGAATTAAGTTTGAGATTTTTAGAGATAATAAACGAGAACGGAGATAGTAAATTTTACATTTTTAATCACTATCCAAAAGTAGAGTTTAGAATCATAAATAATATTCAACGTTAAACTGGTACACAGGTAAAAACATTTTATTTA